AGATTTTACAGCAAGGAGCCCGAAAGTGTGACCTCCTTTAATTAATTCACATTCTTTCATGCAGACATTAAGCAAACAGAAGTCGAGGACAGTTTCCAGCTGGCTTCTGATTGGATAAAATCTGTGCGAAAGAATGTGAATAAATCAAAAGCGGTCACACTTTTGTGCTCCTTGCTGTAAAGAGTAAGAACGAAATAATAATTCGATGAAGTTTCAATATCAGGGAATGTTTCTTATGCGTTCGCCCTTCTATCGCAGTTGCCATTGCATCCTTCCTTGTTTTGTGCGAAAACTGACAGGCATAAAATCGATTTTTCAAACTTTTTTCTAATTTCTCCTCCTTTGCAGCAGTTACCACTAACACGCGCCCTCGAAGCGGGTTTTTTCTCTCAGTTGAAACCTGAGTTTTCGTGGACATCAATCAACTGTTTCCAAAGATTTCTCACACGCTCTGACAGAGAAAGGTTCGCTCATCGCTGAATGAAGGGCGAAGACTTTCAAGACTTCCAAGAATAATTTCGCTTGACGACAGCGTTTTTAATTATTACATTAAGATGAAATTTACATTGTTAAAACAACGAGGTCTCTGCGAGCTGGGTGAAATATTCAAAACACTCTCTGAAGTTTACGTAAAGGTTTTCAGGTTGTTTATTTATTTGATTGTCTGAAAAACACGGGAGTCGTGGACGGATTACCAAGGGGTAGAAATTCAAAGAAACAAAGATATGACACCGACAAGGGAAAAAAGTTTCCTCTGAATGGTGGCTGCTTTCGAAAATGAATCATTTTTTTAACCTGCAGATCTACTTACCATTATTCTTCATGTTATCCAACAGAATCCACAACTAGCAAGAACTCAGAAGAGACGAGTTGCGAGCGTGTATTGAGAAAGCTCATGTGAATGTAACCTACAGTGTGTAAGTAAGTCGATAATTTGAGTTTCCCCAAGACAAGCATTCAACAAATTCGTACTCCTCGTAATCTTGACATGAAGCGGTGTCATCCTGTAGCAAAATATTGCAAAACGGCTTAAACACCGACATGTTCCTCCGAGTGCTCGAGAAACAAGGAAAGAATCTTCTCTTGGACGACGCGTGGAAACCTTGGTAACGGTTGATTGACGTCCACCAAACCAAAGAAAAAATCCCTTTGAGGGCGCGTGTTAGTGGTAACCGTTGTCCAGTGAATCGTTTGAACTCAAAACTGTTTTTCCTTAAATTAGGTCACTGAAAGGGATGTTTTGGCAAAATGATAAAAAATTCGATTTTTGCCGAGTGTCTTACGATTCTCGATTTTCTCAGAAAATGGCTTATAAAAGGATTTCCATGAAATTTCACTCTTTTTTCTGCGACTAAACATAAATCATAATTATCGAGGTAAAACGTGGCGTTAATACAAGGAAAGATGCGGTGACGATTTGTTCTGGCACCGAACTGTACCTTTCTTTGCAAGATCATCTTATCAAATAATCAACATCTTCTAAGTACAAAATAAGGAGTTTGTACTTACGGGAAGGAATAAACGAGTATCGATTCCTTTTAAGTGTCATTTTCAGACAAAACCGGACAGGGCCCACGGGTCGAGGTTGGCCGACTCCTTTGAAATAGGTCATTTCCGATAACTTTGGGCGCGCGAGATTGGAACCTAATTTGGACGCGAAAGCGAGGCTTGGGGGAATAACATGAACTTACAGCTTCTGAAAAGCAAAACAACCCTGGCTTAGTTTTCTTCGCGTTCAGTGCAAGATGAACGAGTTTAAAAGTAAGAGTGTACCGTGCTTGAAAGAGTATCTAAGGTATCTGACCAGGGGCGAAATTATCGTAAGGCTGAATTGGTAGAGCTCGCATTAGCTCGCACAATCTCGCGGCGAGTTAAGGTCCCAGAGTAGGCCTTTCGTTAACGATCAATGAAAACTAAAAAGAAACAAAGGTAAAAGAGTCTTAAAGTCCAACTTAAGTTAAAATACTCACATGTTCGTAAGAAGTCGTGGAGTATGGTTTGGACTTGCTTAAAAGATGTTTATGTTTTGCTCGACGAAATCCAGAAAACTTATTTTTTTTAGCGAAGACGACTGTCATCCTACTTTAACCTTATATTCATTTACGAACAATGGCTGGTCATTTACAGCTTCTTGAGAAGACCTGGCAGCAGTTGTTTTTGTGAGTAATAAATTTATGTCTTCTTGTGTAATTTGTCTTAGTATTGCAAGATTAATTTTCCTGCTTCAGTCGGATTGTTCGTTCCCACTTTTTGATTAGTTTTCCATCGCCAGGGAAACGAAAATAAGGGAGGTCTGCCATATTATGAGACCAAGAGAGGTTTATCCTCTCCTGACGAGACCCATTGTTACAGAGCGCAACAGCACAGTAATTCACCATCTTAGAAAGAGTAAAATATTTCCACCTTCTATAGATCGATACGTGTTGTTTTGCTGCAGCTGTAAGTTTTGACTTTCCCGCTTTATTCCCCCAAGCCTCGCTTTCACGTCCAAACCAGGTCCCAAGCTCGCGCGCCCAAACATATCGGAAATGGGCTGATATGATTAAAAAAAAATTCCCTTTTTAAACAGATTGGCTTTTTTTCATGCGACTTTGATCAGGCCCATTGTTTTTGGCTAACTTGCATAAGAATTCCATGTCAAATTTGGGGTAACCTGTGCAAGCAAGAGAGAATGGTGCGAGTTATTTCACCTACCTCTTGCCAGTTTTGAGCGTTTTTTAAATTTATGTAGCTCATTTGAGACTCGATCCAGTTGTATTCACGATTCACGATTCAGCGTGCAAATTTTCGTCTACTGTGACTTTGGCGGATTCGCCAATTTTAAGCCCTTTTCAAATTACATTTTCTCACAACAGGTAAGAAAACTTTCAAGCTAACTAAGAAAGAGGGCTGGATATTGCGTCCAACAGAGTAGTGGGTTGCCAACATGTTATGATGAAAAATAATTATCTCTAGAACTCAGAGTGAATTAGTGGAACGATCGTAAACTACGGAACTTATTGAAAGTTGCATTTTATATAAAAACTCCGATTCTCTAACTTCAATATAATTCAATCTTTCATACCAAATCACAAGCCCTGTGGGATCCCTGCTGTGCTGAACTCCTGTTCCCAGTTCATTAGTATTTTTTCATTTCCTACTTCGACAAGACAACTGATTCATCCCGGTAATAAGGTCATGATACTAAGCTAAATTTTTGTGTCTTGTGCAGTCTGACTTAAATCGCCAAAAGTAACAGTAGGGGAAACATGGGACGCCCAGCTACACCAGCAAGTGCAACCTAGTTTCGGGGTTGTCTGCTTTTCCGTCCCCTTTTAAGCCGTTCGAACAGAAAACAATATAAGTTTGGAGAGATTTTAAACGACATCAAGACGTGGAAGGTTTAATACTTGGGTCTTGCATACAAGAAGAAGCTAAGCAAGATGGGCTCAATAAACTTGACAGTGAATCTTGCCTGATAACAAATGGATTGGGCAATGAAGTTTCTTCCGATGTACTGTTGCGAGCAAATGAGTCACTTCTTTGGCAAGTGAGGAATTCTTTGTCACGTAAGTGCGGTAATTATCAGTCAAGGGAGCCTGAAAACTGAGAATAACAAGTTTGACGTGGAATGCTTTCTCCTTTAAGAACAGATGCACACACAATAGTTTCTCAGGTTTGTCTCCTATAGAGCATTTGCTACAAAGTATCAAGGTTTAACATGCATGCTTACAGAACTTTTTATCATTCTGATAACGCTGGCTGTTACCATAATGAGCCACTCCTTGTTAGCTTACCACAACTCGGAGCGAGAACTGGTCCGATCCGCAAACTGTACAGGACATGTGATCGTAAAACTGCACCTATGAAGGCTTACATTAGACACTGAGTGAACGAGAAACGTAACGTTACTACTGCCCAGGAATGAAGGAGGCATTCGTGTCATATGGTGGGCTAAGGGGCTTTCGTGGAGCTGTGGTAGAGGCTGACACGTCAAAGGAAATAAACAAGGGCGGCAAGAGTCCAGGAATCAGGCTGAAACTACAGTAAATTAAAAACGGATTAGCACGAGTAGTGGAAGGCCTACAACGTTAGTCCAGGTCGCCTGATACCGAAAGTCGATCTTCAAACTACATGGCAAGGGGACGCTGGTTTGAAAATAATCCAGCCTTTCGAACCATCTACCAAGGAACGTGGCACAGTGGGAGAAAGCGCAAGAAATCAGGCTGATATTTTTCATGTAGGGAAACAGGGTGCATTCTGACATATAGATCTCAGTCAGAGATAGACTCAAAGCACATGGACACAGGCAAACACAGAGAGTGCAAAGTATTAATGAGTCGAATGAGTCAATGAGTCATGAGTTAATGAGTCAGATCTGAAAAAACAAAAGTTTCGGTAGAAACAATAAAATTAAGCCTTACTTTTACTTATTTTTTCGACTTCCTTCATTGCTGCCTGCACAAGGCGTATTTCTGACATGAAATCTCTACCTTGACCTGGGCAGCTGTTTGCTAGCAGTTCCCAGGCCCTGCCGCATAGCAGAAGCGAAAAATAAGCTAGCCTGAGTATCAGGCCTTCCTAAAGGGCTAGGGGAGAGGAGATTTTAGATGGGGGAGGGGGGAAGAGTTTCTCTCCTTCAGCTCTCTCCGTTTTTCGCTTCCATCTTTTCCCCTTTTCCCCAGAAACGCCTGATACTCAGGCTAAAAATAAGCCAGCCTAAATGTTGTGAGTGCTTCGGAAGAAAGTGTTTAATTCCCTTTGAACACAGCGCTTAAAGCACATTGAGATAAACCTATTATGGAATTTCTTAGCGCTCAAAGACACAAATCTGGGAACAGTCGTTCTTTGATATTCGGTGTGTTGATGTTTGGGCCCGGTTTGAAGTAGAAAATCGGTCATGAGTGCGAAGGAGAGTTCCCCTTTTATATCTGTATCGGTATGTTACTTATTAGCTTGTCATGCTGGTGTAAAGGTAAGTATTGCGGGAAGTATTCATTAAGTTTTAGCGAGGAATCTTATCAAGGGGAATACAATTTTCTTTCATCCTGTGGATCGGTGTCGGTCATCAGGAACACAATGAAGATGATCCAGGACACTAAGCGTCCGCTCCAACAATCAGTAGCAGAGTTGTTTTCAGTTGATAATCTTGCCAATGTAGTTCGCCACTTGTTCCAATCAGTTTTACTTGCCTCAAAAGGTGAATGATGCTACGAGGCGAACAAACTGAATTGTAATTTGCCCGAGGAGGGGTATGAAACAGCGAGTCGAACAGTTGTACACAGTCAGTGTTTATATTAGAAACATACAGTGTACGAATAATTATTATTGAGGTATTTACTGTATACCCATTGTCATTTTAAATAGCTTTCAAGGCTCGTTGATTGATTAAAATCATCGGGCATTCATTGTTTGCATCATGTTTGTGTTTACTTACATTAGCTCGCCGTTTAAAACTCTTGCATCAACTAATATGAACAACCTTGGGGCAGCACTTCACTTCTGGTATGGAAACTCTAGTAGTATGGATTGTCTGATGGTTTAAATGGTTCTTGAAGGGTGTCTGGGAAGGCTATTTTTCGGGACATGCACGCAGGGCCTGGGATACTGCTAACAAAAAACCCAGGTTGAGATTTCAGGTCAGAAATAGGCCTTGCATATGTGCAGGCAGCAATGAAGCAGGTAGACAAATTAAGTAAAAGTAATTGCCTTTATTGTTTCTACCGAAACTTTATTTTTTCAGATCTGACTCATTGACTCATTGACTCATGACTCATTGACTCATTTGACTCATAAAACATCCGTTCTCAAACACAGACGACAGCCAGAGTCAGAATAAATTTCAACAAGGTACGATACAAATAAGCAAACCGAGTAAAAGGAGTTTCATTTGACCTCCACAGCAAAAGCAGAAGTACTATATCAGCTGAAAAGTACAGTGGCTCATCCCGAGAGACATTCAACGTTAGACATATTAATAATAGTATGGTATTTATTTATATAGCGCTAAAACCATCTACATATTCTAAAGTGCTAACTAGACTCGCCAAAAGGCGAATTCACTGGGCTGCTTCTGCTTACACTAGACAGAAATATTGTATTGTATGAAAACGAGAAGTTTACTAACACAGACTGCCAACTGCCAATTGATCCCGAACCACGGGCCTCATTGGTTACAGTGAGACGATCCTAACTTGTGGTCAACAGTCTACATGAAAACAGTATTTATATTAAACGCATTATTTGTTTCCACAAGATAAAAGATATTCAGTTTTAATATTTTTTCCTTTGTATTTTTCTCTAACTTAAAGGAATAGAATCCTTTGCATTTTGTAACCTAAAAAAGTTTAAAGATTTCTCGCTCACATGTTGCTTTCATCGGCAGGCACTTTAAACAATGTAAATAGATGAAACGATCGATAACATACTTTTTTACCGTGATACTAATATGAGTTAAAAATTCGCTCGAGTTACTGTTTGTCTCACCCATGGACTAACTTTTCTTCATGGCAGAAAATTATGCCGCTTTATAACTCCTGCGAACTTTTCGTGCCATCTGAACGAAACGCACCATGTGCCCTTGTTTACTTCTGATTGCGCATGCAGGAACTCTCTCTTTTCAAGCGATTCATCTCAAAGCACAATAATTGACCCTTATGTTAATTAAAACCCTATGGTTCATTCTTTTCTAATACTGTTTTTGCCCCTCACATTTACAGTGTTCGTTCGTATTCAATAAAGGTCGTGTAAGTCATGTGTATTATGTTTTGAGATAAATCGATTACAGGCTTTTTTAAGTTCCCATTTTGCCGTCGGCTTCAGTTAACTTCTCCATAAAGTGGTAAACATGGCAAGAAACATCACGCGAGTGAGGTGTTTTGAAACTCGGTAATGCTGACATCAATATATCGTGCTTGCTGAATGGGCAAACACAGAATTGAGGAGAAACATATTAACAAATGATAACAAGACCATGTACAAAGTTAATGAAAAAAGCTTAGCAAGATACAGATGCAAACACAAGCAAAAAATCTGGGCTATACTTGAAAACAACTGTATGCTCTACTCAGTCAAAACACCTTGTCAGTAATAGCTCCTATTTTCCTCAAGCTGGTCTTTTAAGCTTGTGTGCGAAATTCTCAAAGTTCCTATTTTTGTCAGTGTCTTCTTTATCCTTATCCGAAATTTAGACCCCCAAAGTAGAGTGTGTTGCATTAAGAAGAAGGAAATATTAAAATGAAAAGCCTTCTAACAGGGCAAAGCTGTCACTTCGCTCGCTCATGGACGTCCATTTCTTAACATCAGGGTCTGTGCAAGGGAAAATCCTTTGAAACTCACTTGTGGGAACATGGTTTCTCGGTACAAGACCCTCGTGTCTTCCCTCCCCCGGTTGTACGTTTTTCTGCGGATACGAAATTATACTCTGGGCTTGTCCCACAGGCAGTCCAGTACTAAAAGCTGACAAACACTAACAGGTGTATTCCTGAATAGGCCTGCTGTTGACTGTCGCACAGGTTGTCGAAACGTCATTCACTGTCAACCACAGTCACACTCAAGACTGCACAGGTCTACACTCACCCGAACGATCATATTCCATTTACTTTTGACAAATAAAAACATATAATTTTGGATAAAGGATACAAACAGCTGAAAGAAATCACTTAGCATGTCCTGTTGCTTTAAAAATCCAAGCAGGAAACCGAATTCTGATTTTGCCAATTTTAGCTGACTAACGTGCTCAGTCTTCCAAAAGGATTCGTAGGTCCCAATCTAAATCTTACTGAATATTTTACAAACACATATAAAATTGGCGAATCCCATGGAGTCACAAGAGTCGAAAATTTGTACTTTATTTAATCTATCTCATTCCCGATCCAAATCAATATGCACGGATTTTCTATGACTTGTTTGGACGTAAATAAAACAAAAACACACGCAAACTATATTTTATGTTCAATAATATTTAGCTGTAAATCATCCAGAAAACATCGCATGTGAAACTCGTTCAAGGTAAAAGTAATGTTTACATTTTGCGGTAAATGTTGCTAATAATCACGTGCAAAAGCTGCAGCGTATATTAATTTTGTGTAAACCAACTTTTAAACTTTGTTAGGCTCAACGAAACAGCAGACTGAGAACAGATTTATGGATAACACGCAAGCACTCGCACAAACGTGTTCGCCAAGCCTGTTTGGTACGTAAAAAATGGAGGGCAATTGCATTTTATTTTTGCCGATTTGGGCGGACTTACGTGGTCAATCTTGCAAAAGGATTCGGAGGTCCCAATGCAAATCTTACTGAATATTCAATAGTAATTAATGGACTGTGCCAAAACCAATTTGATTTGAAATTTTATCTGCGCAGTTGTGCGAAAATGTAATTTGAAGAGAGCTTAAAATTGGCAAATCCGCCAAAGTCACACGGGACGAAAATTTGCGCACTCGCCAAAGACATTACTAACAATCCAGAATCATTCATCACGTGAATACAATTTGATCGAATCTCAGATGATCTACATAAATAAAAAACGCTGAAAACTGGCAAGAGGTGGGTAAAATAACTTGCACAAGTTACCCCAAATTTGACACGGTATTCGTATGCAAATTAGCCAAAGACAAGGAGGTGGTCAAAGTCCCATGAAAAAAGCCAATCTGTTTAATAAGGGAATATAATAATCACATCCGAAAGGTAATCTGTTGTAGAAATTTGAAAGTAATCGGCCAACCTCGACCCGTGGACCCTGACCAGTTACTAGTGGCTTCATACACCGTTAAATCAAACGCTGTGAATATGAAATGTTGTTAAGGAAATTTTGGTCCATTGAAAAGTGGTTAGTGGAGAGATGTACGCTTTTTCGGTTTATTTTTTATTTCTGTTAAATGGATTTATTTTCTTCGTTTAATTGATATATATTATACTAGGCGGTTTGCATATGTATGAGGATTTAAAAATTCACAGAAGCGCTAAAGCAATACATACAGGATAATATTTATCACTATTAACATTTTTCCTTATGACTTGTTAACGCAAATACACTCACTGTCTCCTCCCGAGGGAAACAGTTGGTTTTGTTTTCTTGAGAGTCATTTATTCTAGTGTTTTTTTATAGAACAAAGTCATGTATAAACTGTTTTGGTATCAAATCAACCAACAAAGAAAACCCTAAGAAAACTCTATCTCCCTTTACTTTGAGAGCAGACGGACAAGGAAAACAACCATGCCAGCAATAGCTCATTCCATTCCTTTTTATTGAAAATATAAAATAAATCATATGTGTGAACTGCGCATAAAAATACGAAACCCTCGCATGCAGTTAATTGAACCTAAGTGGTTGAAAGAGAACCTGGCAAAATTCAGGTGGGAATCGAACCCTGAACTTTGCGACAATCGGACGGAACACTCTACCCAAATGAGCTGATCAAGCCACCTGGGGAGCGGATCATTTGTTATAGATGACCGTTTCCCGGTCAAGTTAATTTGCCAGAGAGCAACTATTGATGAATTACAAGCATCCCTCGCGGAATATAATTCATCAATTATTGCCCAAATCACCCGATCCTGAAACAGCTAATGAGAGTGAGACATTGACCGATATATCCACAAGCTATGTAACAATCTAAATTATTCCATGTGTTGGTAAAAAGCATGAATTATAGAATCATTAAAACTTACTGATTTACTTACAATTTTTTCTTTGATTCGCACTTTAGCTTGTACCCTTTGTTCTGGTGTTCCCCTGACAATGAACACTCCGTTGTCTTTACCAACCAGTTTTGTTCCAGTATGAGTGCTGATATCTTTGAGGTTTTTTCCCTTTTTGCCAAACACCAAACCTATGTATTTTTCTGGAATTTCCACAAGCTCACCAGACGAAACTTCCTCAGCTTTCAAGTTTCTATCCTGAACAGCTTGCTGTAAAAAAGTGCATTTCTTTACTAGGAATATAAATGTGACAGGAAGATTGAAGGTCTACTCGGTAATGCACACTAGATGCTACAATAATTGGTGAAACAAAAGCGGTTGCTGCATGCGTGACAGTACTTTCAGTTGGCATTTACCATTAAAAAGCGTTTTAATAAATATGGCGGAAAGTCTGAGCAGTAAAACAACAAAAACAAAACGTTCACAGTAATAGTTGAGATAAAAAAATAGACCTCTATTAGCTAATAGTCATACCAGTGTCAGTATTTTAAGGGCGGCTAAGGTGTTACGCCCAGGTCTACTCTGCTTTCTGCCCGCTAACACTCAGAGAATCAATGGGTAATGGCAAGGGAAGCATTTCTTAATATTTAACAAAATACGTTAACCTAATCAACAACTCTTACTTTGTATGTCTATTTGATCACGTTTTTAAGAATATAGCTTCCTTGTGTCCTTGCCAGGAGGGCGAACAATTGTTTTGCAGGGTGCAAGCCTATAACAATTACCATTATTTTCACTGCCACACTCCACTCAAAATTAAAATTCACTTGGTCGCATATTTTCGTCAAGGAAACTACACAAACAGCACCGTTACCTTACATGGAATACTGCAGGGAAGTGGAAACATGCAGCGCCTTACACGCAGGGCGAACATGTAGGGAAAAAAATCGAAGATACTGTCGTTATGGAGATGAGGATATTGAAACTGTAAGAAACACAAATTTGGCACCTACAGTAAGTTTAAGTTACTGTAAGTATATTTCAACCAATAATTAAGTCACTTCTTGTACATTCAAGGCCAACCGTCCCATATTTTATTTTTTGTTTTTGTTTGTTCGTTTTTTTTTTTCTTTTTCAATATCCACACCTTCCAAAACTTCATATATTTCAATGGTTGCGTAGCTGTGAAATTGATGGTGACAATTCATGGGTTAAGATGACTCAACAAATTGGCCTGCTCCCAATGTATGGGTCTTCATAAATCAGTTGGTAGAGCACTGCAGCGCTAACGCAGAGGCCATGGGTTAGAATCCCGTGAAAGTCCCGAAAATTTTTTCGGGTTAATTTGCAATTGCTTAAATTGCAATTACCACTGCGACGATCATATCTTCATTTAAATTTGTATTTCCGCAGTTCACAGTCTTCATTCCAAAAGTTGTTTCACATTTGTAATTTATAAACTTACCACTTTTTCTAAGATGAGCTGCCTGGCGCGTGCTCGTTGCTCTTGGTTACCACTGATTGTAAACCCTTCCTCCTCCATGGTCTGGGAAACTCTTGCTCCAGACTTTTGACTGATTTCTTTTATCACAACGCCACCAGTTCCAATCACGTACCTCTTCAAGTTTCTTGGCACCTCAACAAATTCACTCTTTCGCCTTTGCTCCTTACCAGTAAATAAAAAGTAAATTACCATTCTGCCCGGCGTCGACAAAACCTGGATCAGATCGATCGCTATAACCGTATCCCTAACCATTTGTAATTTGATGACTTACGGAGGTTTATCCGATCCAGGTTTTGTTGTTGTCGTCTACGGGTGCCAGTGTTTTAACAAATCAGAGCTGGCGGCCAAGGTGACCTGCACTTTAGATGACGTGACAGGTCCTTTCATTATATTTTAAAAAAATGGATCATTGGTTTATGCAATTATAGAGTTTTGATTGGCTAAGCGATCACGGGATATAAAAAACTGAATCATCGGATAATGCAGTTCTTGAGTTTGATTGGCTTAGCCATCATAGCATATGAGCCATTAATTATACCATGCTCTACAAANTTCGCCTTTGCTCCTTACCAGTAAATAAAAAGTAAATTACCATTCTGCCCGGCGTCGACAAAACCTGGATCAGATCGATCGCTATAACCGTATCCCTAACCATTTGTAATTTGATGACTTACGGAGGTTTATCCGATCCAGGTTTTGTTGTTGTCGTCTACGGGTGCCAGTGTTTTAACAAATCAGAGCTGACGGCCAAGGTGACCTGCACTTTAGATGACGTGACAGGTCCTTTCATTATATTTTTAAAAAATGGATCATTGGTTTATGAAATTATAGAGTTTTGATTGGCTAAGCGATCACGGGATATAAAAAACTGAATCATCGGATAATGCAGTTCTTGAGTTTGATTGGCTTAGCCATCATAGCATATGAGCCATTAATTATACCATGCTCTACAAAAATGTTAAGTTTACGCGTCAGTTCAAGATTAGAAGCATGCTGAAGTTCTTTTTCTCAGAGGGAAGAAATGGCGACCGGAGAAAATTCTTAGACTGCTAGAAATGCAATTTCGTCGGAAAATACAACAAAAGACCCAAAAGTATAAACAGTATGACACGATGATTCTTTGAAAATACATGAAAAATATATATCTCGACCGGCTACGAAAAAAGTCAAACGTGTTTGGTAAATTTCTTGGAGATCACGAAGCCACTCGCCGAAGTATATCTCCACCCTGTTCATCCGACAAACAGAATATACACCACAAGTGACAACAGTCGAACCTCCATGTGGAACCACCTCTCGTAAGAAAGCACCTCCCTATAAGCGACAACTTACCTTAAACTCCTCGCCAATAGACGAGCTTAGGATAGGTGCCTCAAGCAAAACTAAAGCAATATGTAAAAGCACTGCAATTTAAAGGGGCCGCCGGCACCCCCGTAGAACACGTGCTTCAGAGAGTAAAGCCGCTGGTCGCATCGGCTCAAGTGGAACCTTACCTAAAATAAATCTAGCCACATAAAAACAACGACATTTTTCCAGTTAAATCACTACAGCTGGAACCTCTCGTAACCGCAACCACTTTTTAGGATGACGGTTTTAGAATTTTTCATTGTTCTTATCCTCTTGTAAGCGACCACTTGACGCATGGTTTAAGTCTATGTTCGCTGTATGTGCAACACTAATCAGAGTATACGATAAACTTTTAGTGACAAGATCGAACTACACATATTGTACCTTAGAAATTTCCTGCAATTAATTCTTCCACAACGTCTGTGTCTAAAGATCTTCTCGGAAAAGACCCCCTACGGTTCGCCTCTCGGAAGCGACTACCTCCCATAGGTGACAACTGAATCTTTGAACTTTGGACGGTTATTTACTGCTGGAAGTAGCTGCAAGTAAAGGCTATGAACCCATCCACTACGCAAATCCGGCATCTATAGATTCTGTTCTCAAACAGCAAAGCTTCAAACAACTTCACGACAAGCTTTGCACGAGCTTTCTGCATGGCGACCGCGTGAATAGCTTCCTTCAATTACTGCACCAGATATCCAAATTCACAATAATTCGATGGTTGCATTGAAAAATTCTCTTTGTTAACATAATCTGCGATTTTTTTTTCGCTGTCAAGCAGAGTACAGAGCGAGAATCTTGATAAGTTGTTAGGTGTTCACCGTAATTTTTTTTTTCATTGTGTTCTCGTTGACCAATTGTGACAGTTTTGATAGATGTGTGACAAATGAGAACCGGAAGCCCCTTGTCTCTTCCGGTTGGCCTTAGAAAAGTCGGGAAGATTTGTTGATGTTTTCTGGACGTCGGTTTTTCAGTAACAAAACAGTTATACCTCACGCTTGTTGAGTATGATTGATTATGGCCAACTCGGCTAGGGCCTCGTTGGCTATCTACGAGTGGTCCACTTACAAAGAACACCTAAGTGGCTACACTAACATGCGATTTTGTAAGAGTACACTTCAGTGTCGTTTTTGCAAAAAGAAATGCGGATGCAGGCCCCATATTATTACTGAAGTTACTGAGCTTTTTTGGGAAGGGGAAAAGTGAAAGAGAAGGGTTTTTGCTTTATTTAATACTTGTGATGCACTTTGTTAACCACCCACCCACTTCACGTTTTCTGAAAAACGCCGTTGAGAAAATGGACAACACTGTAAAATAAATAAATAATAATAATTTAGAGGTAGCAGTTGCACGAAGTGGTTCTTCGTCTACTTGATTCCTGGTCGAATTGGAATTTGGAAATGTTGGTTTTTGAGAAGGGAGGAAAACCGGAGTACCCGGAGAAAAACTACTTGGAGGAAAGGAGAAAACCAACAACAAACTCAACCCACATATGGCTTCGACACTGGGATTTGAACCCGGGCCACAATGGTGGGAGGTGAGTGCTCTCACCACTGCGCCATCCCTTGCTCCTCAAAATAACCATTACATACTGTATTTGAACGCATTTCAATAAACTTGAAGAGTTCCACTCATTTAGATGTATTAAATCAATTTTTGATACCTAACACCATCCGTATTGAGCCAATGATAGTATCAGTTTAAATGGATTGCAACAATTACGAAAGAGGTTAGCACTCAATTTTTGTCAAACATATTCGGTTTCATTGCTGTCTTCGTACAAGTCTTCGGTAAGGTTGTTGTCGCTGGTAGATTCCCCGATTCATTTAACAGAAGCTGAAAAGTATTTGAAACTACTACATTTTCCCTACACTTTTTGATAGTTAACTTTGAAAACGGTGAGGCATTGATAACGTAGCTCTTATAATAAAAATTTAGGATACACGGGTCCAACCTTAGGGCAAGTCTCTGAATCTTTTAGAGTTAAATAAAAGTAGTCGTATTGTCGTCATTTAGTGTGCATTTGTATTATCTGCTCAGAGTGAGCTTATGAAATACTCGAGTGCGTAGTATATGATCAATTGCTGCTGTCTTAAGACTGAATGCACTCTTCATTTTCTGTAAAATGATATTTTTTCATATTTTTCCATGAAACTATAAAAACATTGATTTCGTGTGTTTGTGGCATATATTAACGCGTGCCTCCGCGATCAGTTTAAACAACATGCTACTAAATAAACCTGGCGTATAAAACCCTTTTACGCTGTTTTAAAGCAGCTGACCATTGCTGCGATGCATTTCTTCTTTGATAAGTAAAACTGTGTGTTGGAAATCAAGCCAAAGAAATTCGTTGCTTTGGAAAAAAATCAGGAACAGTAACTTTTGGTGTTGAGTTTCACAGCCTTTAAAAGTCAAGAAAATGTACCGCTGAAAAATCTACAACTGAAAACCTGCGTAGAAAACGTGCGACTTTTGTCATAGTGGGAAAGTATAGTATTTAACAACGAAATGGCTTTCAAAAGGACTGTAATTTTGCGCGAGTTTTTAATTTCCCGCCATCAGATTTGATGCGCTCATGCATTTGTCGTTCAGCGGATGCACGCATACGCACGCAAATTGCCCTCTTGCTCTGAGCAAGAACACCATCTAAGCAAGCAGAGGGCTGGCAGCCGTTTCGTCAGCTTCGCCTGCAGCTTAGGTGNCACAATATGTGACAGCTTGTTTTGAGTCATTTATGAGTTCGTGACACGATGAAGGCTTAAAAATTAACTTTGTGCAATTGTTACTTTTATTTATAGTCTGAGTATAAGTCTCCCAAAAGACATTACAGTATTGCACCCTAGTAATAATAAGTTATAAGTACACTACTTAAAAGTATTTACAATAAGGTAAGCATTTGATGACTTTAAGTAGACTTCAAATAGTTTATGGATAATCTGTTTTTATAGTCAGAGTGCTGTGTGCCCAAAATACAATTTAAATAGACCTCAAAACAGTGTTTAAGTACCCTATTAGGGTTTTCCGACTTAGCGGAAGTTCGAGCCATTTTTTCCGAGATGTGAAATTGATTCCATTATACTGTAAAAAGTCATCTCGATTTTTTCGTTATAAGTAAATCTTTGCATGATGTCATTTTTTATGCAAAATATCTGGCTCGTAAAAGGATAAATGAGCACAAACATGTTTGGTAAACGTTTTTTAAAAACAAGAGGACTCATTTGCAGTATTTGCTTCTAGCAGTCGCATTTGGCAGATACGCATATGCTGCAAATAAATTCACCCTCGGTGCTAACTTTTTTCAAAAGTCATTTAAAAAAGATAAAACATATACGCTAACAAGGAAAAACGTAAACAATACTGCTTTCGTTTACTGGATAATATCCTGGGCAAGGAGGGAATCTCTCAAGACGTCTGATTTTTCTTCATTAATCTGCGATCAGGCGGTCCTTAGATTTTCCCATTTTCTTTGGGAGGTCTGATCGCAAGTTATTTCTAAATTTGCTACGTCAAACGTAAATAAAAATCGTTTTCATTGTCTCATCGAGTGCCACATAAATACGATAATTTATAAACAGAAAAGGAATGACATTGTATATCTCCTCTCCTACCAATTGGGAAAGACGGCGGGAGCAGTCTCCATGCATCGTATCTGGCAATTTCGTCTATTTGTGGATATCTATTCGACTCTGCATAACTATGGCAAAAGCTCATGACAATAAATTTATACAAACGGCAGAATGCGCAATCATAGTTATTGGTGCAATCAAACTAAACTAAGCGAATGCAAAAATTTTTTGACACTGGCGCGAAATTCCATGAGTTCCCACTAAGGTGCGGGATTGCAGAAGAAAGCCTCATATATGACAAATAACAAAAGAATAACAAAGCAGCACACATGTTAAATGCTTATTCTTTGGAAAAACACACATTTTAAGCTATTTCAAAATGAAGGTTTAAACAAATTAGGCCGAGTGCATGCTTATAGTTTTAATGGTAGAAAGAATAGGGTTAAAATCTTCTTCCTACGCTCCGTATAAAAACCCAGCTAGAAACATTATCGCTTTCCACACTTCAACATGCACCTTTTTTTCTCAGAGTGCAAAGCCCGAAATTTGATTTGTTGGGGGCTGAACAGGAATATTGATATTCCATTTTTTTCTGGTCTTCTTCAGCCTCAGACTCTAAAGAGTTGGCCATGGAAATTATTTCCTTGAATCCTGATTTTCTTGGGGAATCGAGTTATATGAAACTTTGCAAGAATAATATAAAATTTAGTGCTGCAGCTGGTCTCGCGAAGTGCAAGTTATAAACAAATTAGCGATTTACTGACAGTAGTCGGCGTTAAACGAATTTCACGTATAGAAAGGCTAGAAATTGAACTCATTTGAAACTGGCTAGTTCCACTTCCGCAGAACTTCCGCTAAATCGGAAAACCCTATTTAAAAGTATTTAAAATGCGGTCAGTTCTTAAGGTTTTAAAACATATTTCAAATAGTCAATTTGAACTCTGTTTGTAACTTTGTCAGTGGATGCGTCTCAAAATACATTTTAAATACAACTCAAAACAGTGTTAAAGTACCCTATTTAAAAGGATTTAAAATACGGTCAGCATTTAGGCTCTTAAAACATATTTCAAATAGTCTATTTGAACTATGTTTGTAACTTTGTCGGTGGATGCGTCTCAAAATACATTTTAGATACAACTCAAAACAGAGTTAAAGTACCCTATTTAAAAGTTTCTTAATTACAGTCAGCATAAAAGCCCTTAAAACATATTTCAAATAGTCTACTTGAACTCTGTTTGTAACGGTGTTAGTGGTTCTATGCCCAAAATACATTTTAAATACTCTATTTTAATCATATTTATTAAACAAAATACATTGCAAATTGATGAGAGAGGTTTTCCTTTACATGAAATACAATTTAACTACACTCAAGATATATTTCAAACAGGGGCGAAAATTTAAATTTTTTTGTCAAATAGTATTAAAATACAGGAAAATAGTGTTCAAATACTGAAAATACATTTTAAATACTTTAAAATCAGTTTCAAAATACATATGGTTTGGTAAGGGATCTTATAATAAAAATTTAGGATACACGGGTCCAACCTTAGGGCAAGTCTCTGAATCTTTTAGAGTTAAATAAAGGTAGTCGTATTGTCGTCATTTAGTGTGCATTTGTATTATCTGCTCAGAGTGAGCTTATGAAATGCTCGAGTACGTAGTATATGATCAATTGCTGCTGTCTTAAGACTGAATGCACTCTTCATTTTCTGTAAAATGATATTTTTTCATATTTTTCCATGAAACTATAAAAACATTGATTTCGTGTGTTTGTGGCATATATTAACGCGTGCCTCCGCGATCAGTTTAAACAACATTCTAATAAATAAAACTGGCGTATAAAACCCTTTTACGCTGTTTTAAAGCAGCTGACCATTGCTGCGATGCATTTCTTCTTTGATAAGTAAAACCGTGTGTTGGAAATCAAGCCAAAGAAATTCGTTGCTTTGGAAAAATATCAGGAACAGTAACTTTTGGTGTTGAGTTTCACAGCCTTTAAAAGTCAAGAAAATGTACCGCTGAAAAATCTACAACTGAAAACCTGCGTAGAAAACGTGCGACTTTTGTCATAGTGGGAAAGCATAGTATTTAACAACGAAATGGCTTTCAAAAGGGCTGTAATTTTGCGCGAGTTTTTAATTTTCCGCCATCAGATTTGATGCGCTCATGCATTTGTCGTTCAGCGGATGCACGCATACGCACGCAAATTGCCCTCTTGCTCTGAGCAAGAACACCATCTAAGCAAGCAGAGGGCTGGCAGCCGTTTCGTCAGCTTCGCCTGCAGCTTAGGTGGATGGTAACCTCTACCCGCCGTTTCAAACCATTGTTAGAAAGATATTTTTCTTTGGAAATCTTTCCAATTCTTGACAGATCATCTACAGTAAGAAAATACAACAATAACAACATTGTAACGGCAGAAGAAAATTTTCTTATTTAAATTTTCCTGCCTAAGCAAGGTGAGATCCCGCCAACTACCAGGTCAAATGAGGCCACTTGAAGAGAATACAGAGCTCTTTGTTAAGGAATGTTAGCATTTGAGTCAGTTTATTTCACAGACAACATACATTTCAAGTGTCATTTATTCATGATAATTTTTAATAAACAAACAGACATGCATGGCGGCCATATCATGTAGTGACCAGTGTCGATTTTCAAAATTACGTTGGAAATCGTATCTACAATAAATTTGGTCAACAGCACATTGGTATTTCCGACAAGAGTAATCACTATATAAAAGTAGACAAAGCGGGGGTGAGTTTCGCCACCGTCTTCACCGCGTTCAAGAATTTTCACATTTTTCTGGACCTACTTACCACTTTTTGTAAGATGAGCTTTTTAGCACATTCTCTTTGCTCTTGATTACCACTGATTGTAAACCCTTCCTCCTCCTTGCTCTGTGTACTAACTGTTGCTCCCGACTTATCCATGATTTCGTTTATCACACAGCCACGCCTTCCAATGACGTACCCCTTCAAATCTCTTGCGACTTTAACAAACTCACTCTTCTCCATGAAATCAGTGTAAGGTATGCTGAAAAGCCAGAATACAAATGTCTTTTTCAAAAGAGGGATTTTATCTGAAGATTTTTTTCTTCAGCAAATTTACAAGCTATTCATAAAAAAAACTGATGATTTCAGTGGAAGTACAAACGTAAAACACTTTTTAAAAATCCACAATATTTTCAGCTTTAATGACGGTTGATGGCCTGATGTTATGCGTTACATATAATATGTAGCGTGATGTTCATCACTTCTTAAGGCCCGAGTAACAATTCTCTTACGTATTCTTAGTGCTTTAGGTATTGATGTGGCTCTCTAATATAGGGGATCGTTTACTTTTTTAATTACTTGCTGAAAGAACTATTATCCAGCACATCGTTTTATTTATAACAGCTTTTTATTATAAATGTGAGAAAAGTACATCCTCTCAATTCTAAAGCCCCATAAACTACATTATTATTCATTTAAAATATATCCCCGTTTCTGATTGGCTAAAACCACACGCATAATTCACCATAACCGACTACTGTTGACCAAATTTGGCAAGAATTTTGTCGTATTGAACCGATGACGTCAAAAGTGCAGCCTGGTTGCAGGTTATTAAACCGTCAACCGAGAAAACCTGGGGACAAGGTACACTTATTTTGGCAGTGTGAACAAAATGGCTAGACAGTTGGCGGAACATTTTACTCGTTTCGCGGCGAAATAGTCTATAAACATGGCAAGAGCAGCATGAAGACGGACGACATCTGCTATTTGGAGTATATTTGCAGACTCCTCGATCTGCAGAATTCTTCATATCCTACTCAGCCTCATTCAATAATTGCTAAATAATGACATCCCGTTTTTAGTCTTGTGCAAGAAGTGAGTTTACAGTTTTTTTTTTAAATAATGCAATTATGTCTAGCAATTGTGTTGATAGGAGATGCATCATCAGATGGAGGTCCTGTTCCATTTAATAGATTCCAACGAAATTAATAAATCATTGAAAGTGAAATGAAAAAAGCGTTCACTTGTGGTGGAATTTACACCCGGGATGAAGAAATGTGATAACAGTGTAAAATAAAACAGAGATTCAGAAAATTCTTCAACTAAAAATATTCATGTTTAAAACCCTCAAAAAAGAACATTGCAGACACCTTGAAGTGACTGAATTTAAGGACGTGGATACAAGGCAACTCATGTGACACCTAGACCAGGTAAAGCTTTAGCAACTACCAAAATGACTTAATTTGTGTTATTACTACTCTAAAATGGTTGAGGACTTTATGGACGTCTATTATGAGGAGGGAGACAACAATTAACGGAGAATTGCAATGCCTTGGTGGGGCACATATGAGAAACCTCATCCAGACTGGTCCAATGGTAAAACAACATTACAGGACACAGAAGTAATGACTGGCATTAAAAATAATAACGACAAATAATACAACATTTTTTGGCAGAAATAAAGTTATCCTCCTCAGATCCAGAAACTGTTTCAGAATTTGCTCCCAAGTTTGTTGCAAAACCAAAGCTGGTTTACTTAAGGTAGCTTGATTGGACTTTTTAGGGTCGATGCCTCTCAAGATTGACCATTAACTACGTCGCCATTAACAAGATATGGAAAAAAGATTGCCACATTTTTATCAGACAAAGATAAAAGTTGGTTATCAGCACTGTTGACATTGGAGTCGTCATGGCAACGACATGACATCATTATCTATTTCACTTGTAGCCGTATTTCTTGGAACTGGGAGTTTTGTTCCACAATCGCTGACGGGAGCTTGCTCCTCCAATATTTGCCTCAATGTTCGAGACGTTTGAACAAATTCTATGAGAGCGTTTTCGAGATACTTTGGGATGACGTTTTTATGGTTAGAAATACAGTAATAACTGGAAAATCTTGTTTCTCGGCCATCATCTTTAGAAAATGAAGAGCTTATGAAATGCAATTCCGCCTCATAGTTGTTTCGATCATTTTAAACACGTGTGTTAAAGATCATGGGGAAAGCTTGAGCCGATTAACAGAAAGAAGGATTTGATTATCACGCGTTGAGGTGCTGTTTCCGGCGTTTTTGTAAATATTTTGGTGTAATTTAATAAATGAGCGAATAATTTGGAAACTGGTCAATAGTTTTTTTTAACATATGTTATGCTCGATATTACTCGTTTTTTAATATGACCTTCAAGTTTTAGCATCATTGAAGAGCGACGGTCAGGAAATATCGACGTCATCGACCATTGAGTGGCAGGAGTTGAAAAATCGATTTCCTTCATTTTTTGTCCATAAATAGCTTTTAGGTAGATAAGTAATCAGATGTAAGTTGTTCTCGCAAAAAGGCTTTTATTTTCGAGAAAAGTAAGAATATCAGTTTTCGTGGTCGGAGTCTCAAAATGGCCGTGTTTTCAACCCGAAATTTGCTAACATCAACTCTCCTTGCGTTCGCAAATAAAGCCACAAGGAGAAATTTGGACACTTTCCATCAATAGAACAACTCTTCTTCTTTCACTAGAAGATACTTCCACAGCAATATCGAGACTCGATGAACTGACATAATTCAAAAACTTCTAGTGGAAGGAAAAAAAATTTTCTGATCATGGAAAGTTTCAAACTTCTCCATGCGGATTCGTTTGCGAACGCGAGGAAAGTTGATGTTAGCGAATATCGGGTTAAAAATGAGGGCAGTCTGAGACTCCGACATCGAAAACCAATTTTCTAATTTTTCTCACAATGATAGGCTTCTGGCGGGAGCAATCTACATTAGGTTTCTTAGCTACCTAAAAGCTGTCTATGAACAAAAAATGAAAGAAATTTATTTTCAACTCTTGCCACGAAATTAAGATTTCGGTCGATTTTTTCTGACTGTCGCTCTGAAAACTTGTAACGCAATAAAAAAAGGATTCAAATGCGCTACTTTTTTGCCACAAACTTCGTGTTTACAAGTGAGACAAAACAGCCAAAAATAAATAAATAAATAAATAAATAATAATGATTTGGAGGTAGTACATCCACAAAGTGGTTCTTCGTCTACCTGATTCCTGGTCGAATTGGAATTTGGAAATGCTGGTTTCTGAGGAGAGGGGAAAACCGGAGTACCCGGAGAAAAACCTCTCGGAGCAAAGGAGAGAAACAACAACAAACTCAACCCACATATGGCGTCGACGCCGGGATTTGAACCCGGGCCACACTGGTGGGAGGCGAGCGCTCTCACCACTGCGCCATCCCTTGCTCCCGGCAAAAAAAAAACGACTAAATCGATGTGAATCCACACCAAAAAACACAGGAATACATCAAAGGTAAGTCTCCTTTATTTAATTTATAAAAAAATAAGTAAGAATAATGATATTAAGCGTTCGCAGACCTCAGTATTTTATTTCTCATACAAAGTCTCAACGGTTGCTTGTAACGCGACACCGACTCTCTTTTACATAACACACTCGTAACGTGAGCTTGGGATGCCTGTGGTGTGAAGCCAACAATTGACTTCAAGTTTAGTTTTCACATGAAGAGCAGTAACAAACACAGCTGCAAACAATGCACTTGAAATATGTAGAAATGACAATGTTAGATATTGTTGTCCACGAAAACATGAAACTTGCAGACAATACCACGGAATAATGAATGACTCTCCCTTGTAACTCGAAATTTCAAACAAAAAATTAGCGTTTCGTAGTCCTTATTTTATTGCGTTACAAGTTTTCAATGTGGCAGGAAAACTTGACATAGTCGTGATATGCACGTTCCGAAGCGTATTTAAAACAAAACTCTCCAAAATCCTTGACATGCCAGTACGCGAGGTCGCGAGGAGTCGTTCAAGCTTTACTCTATCCTTGACCTGATTAGCCGACACCAAAACAAGAGGTTTTATGACATAGAAATCGTTTGGCGGCTTGGGTCCAAACACGACACTTCGAGTGGACAGAAGCGACGACCAAAAATATGTCTGCGTTCGCAGGCTAGCGAACCCGCCGCGTTTGTTTCATTTCTTTTGTTTTTGTTTTTATTTTTATTTTTCATCCAGCGGCTGAAAAAAAGCTAAATATGCAGTGCCATACGCACTTAAGAACAAAAACAGACAATAAAAAAGGAAGAAAAAAAAAAAAAAACGAAAGAAAGAAGTAGGGGTCTTAAAGACAGCATATTCGCCGAGTTTCGAACCCCGCCCGACATGGCTTACCTTGAGTGGCGCTATTTAAAACCGAAGGAATGAGAAGGAAACATGGGTATACCACACAAGTATTTCTAGTTTATGCTGCCTGCTTGATTTGCTCAGGCAACGATCGGATTGGTGAAAATCGAAAGTAGCAAACCTTCGCGTCCAGCCGTCTTTCCGGGGATGAGCGCGGGCTCACTTCCCGTACAGCGGCTGGTAATGGGCTGTATGTATACATTGCTTCTAGTTAATACCGTCAAACCACTATATGATGCTTACACCACGTCCTTACCCATGGAAAACCAACATAATTTAACAAAGCACTGCTCTGAGAAAATAGCGAACTCTTCGAGACACCGCCACTGGTTTCGCCGAGAAATGACATTTCGCAGGGAAACCAGGGGTGGCATTGCGAAGTGTCAGCTGTTCTCTCAGGTTAACAAAGATCCTGGGTAAAAAGACTGCGCTCCTGAGTCAGAGTCGGTAAAGGGGNGGGGGGGTCGCGGTGTGATGGCTTGTGCGGTGGGGGACAAGAGAGGGGAGGCGGGTAGGGTGGGGGAGGGGGGGGGGGGGGGGGGGGGGGGGGGGGGGGGGGGGGGGGTGTAGTGGAATACCAAAATACCAGAAATAAACCTTTCAATATACAAAAAATATGCCAAAACTCGTGTGAAATACCAAAATTAAGAAAACCACGGTATACTTTAGTATGTGTAATCAAATGGTGACGAGTGAAAGGCTCGGAAAATTATTAGGATTTGGACAAAACGCAAGTGAAATTATTCCCTAATTTCACGAGTATACCATTTGTTACCTATTAATATCATGGGTGACGAATTACGTTAGCAATGTTGGATTTTTGACATGTTTATCCTGGAT